CCGCATCATTGTCATCATCATCACAGCAATCGCCATCGTAATCTGACCTCCCCATTTTCATCCTCCTCCTCGTCCTCCTCTTCTCATACTCCTCCTCCTCCTCCTCCTATTCCTGTTTCTCCTCCTCGTGCGTCATCTCTATTGCCCCTGGGTCAGTCGGTACAATCACTATGAAGAAGAAGAAAAGGACAATTAATTTTTCCGCCTTCTCTCACCTTCCTTTTCATCATCCTCTCTGTTCACGCAAGTCCGTAAGCCTTCCTCAAGATTGTCATCGTCATCGCTATTACGTGCTCATCATGTTATCAGTGTTAATGTGTCTGCACTTCCCCCTCTCCTTAAACTTTCAGGTCATCTTGTGTGTGTGTGGGGTAGATCATGAGTAGTGCCAACGTGGAGGGAGTGGGAAGAAGAGGAGGGGGGGGGGAGGTAAGGAGGAGGACAAGGAGGAGGACAAAGAGGAGGAAGAATAGGAGGAAGAATAGGAGGAAGAAGAGGAGGAGGGAGGAGAGAGGAGGGAGGAGGAAGAAGAGGAGAAGTGACAACTTCCTCTACCCGTGAATCTCTCTTTCGCTCTCTTCTTTTCTCTCTCCTCCACTCTCTCTCGCTTTCTCTCTCTTTCTCCAGATGATGACTCCAGCTACTACGGCTTCTCATCCTCCAGACCACCTTCACCCGAATATTACGCGTGGTCATTATTTGGGGCAAGTTACAGTCTAGACACGACGATGTTGACGATTGCACCTAATGTGGCCGTCTGCATCTGTCTGTCCTTATAGAATATCATCTGTCCGCAGATGATGGATTTTTTTTTGGGGGGGGGAGAGGGGGGAAAGGGCGGGGATATACTTATTAAGGGGTATTGGGTGGAGTATGAGGAGGCAGATGATGGCGAAGGACACGAGGAGAGGGGAAAAGGAACTCGCAAGAAAATTGTGACCAGGGGAGAAGGAACGATAATCAGGAGCTTCTGAACTGCCGAAAATTTCAATTAAAGTAGAAGAAAGAAAATAGAAAACTCCCGGCTTGAGAGTGTCTTGAGACCCTTTTTTTTTTTTTTTAAAGAGCGGCATTCTTGAGGTATTCCAGAGGTGACCTCTCTCAGGTAAGTCGAGATTATCATGGAACGTGAAAGTGTCTTGACTCTTGATTCCTTTTTTTTTTTTTTTAATTTTAGGGCGGCGGTCTTGAGGTATATCCACAGGTGACCGTCCCCAGGTAATTGGAGATTATTATGGAACTTGAAAGTGT